AGTCTAGTCTATAGTCTAGTCTATAGTCTAGTCTATAGTCTAGTCTAGTCTATAGTCTAGTCTAGTCTAGTCGTCTATAGTCTATAGTCTAGTCTAGTCTATAGTCTAGTCTAGTCTATAGTCTAGTCTATTGTCTAGTCTATAGTCTAGTCTATAGTCTAGTCTATAGTCTAGTCTATAGTCTAGTCTATAGTCTAGTCTATAGTCTAGTCTATAGTCTAGTCTATAGTCTAGTCTATAGTCTAGTCTATCTATAGTCTAGTCTATAGTCTAGTCTATAGTCTAGTCTATAGTCTAGTCTATAGTCTAGTCTATAGTCTAGTCTATAGTCTAGTCTATAGTCTAGTCTATAGTCTAGTCTATAGTCTAGTCTATAGTCTAGTCTATAGTCTAGTCTATAGTCTAGTCTATAGTCTAGTCTATAGTCTAGTCTATAGTCTAGTCTATAGTCTAGTCTATAGTCTAGTCTATAGTCTAGTCTATAGTCTAGTCTATAGTCTAGTCTATAGTCTAGTCTATAGTCTAGTCTATAGTCTAGTCTATAGTCTAGTCTATAGTCTAGTCTATAGTCTAGTCTATCTAGTCTAGTCTATCTATAGTCTAGTCTATAGTCTAGTCTATAGTCTAGTCTATAGTCTAGTCTATAGTCTAGTCTATAGTCTAGTCTATAGTCTAGTCTATAGTCTAGTCTATAGTCTAGTCTATAGTCTAGTCTATAGTCTAGTCTATAGTCTAGTCTATAGTCTAGTCTATAGTCTAGTCTATAGTCTAGTCTATAGTCTAGTCTATAGTCTAGTCTATCTAGTCTATAGTCTAGTCTATTCTAGTCTATAGTCTATAGTCTAGTCTATAGTCTAGTCTATAGTCTAGTCTATAGTCTAGTCTATAGTCTAGTCTATAGTCTAGTCTATAGTCTAGTCTATAGTCTAATCTATAGTCTAGTCTATAGTCTAGTCTATAGTCTAGTCTATAGTCTAGTCTATAGTCTAGTCTATAGTCTAGTCTATAGTCTAGTCTATAGTCTAGTCTATAGTCTAGTCTTCTAGTCTATAGTCTAGTCTATAGTCTAGTCTATAGTCTAGTCTATAGTCAAGTCTAGTCTATAGTCAAGTCTAGTCTAGTCTATAGTCTAGTCTAGTCTATAGTCTAGTCTAGTCTATAGTCTAGTCTATAGTCTAGTCTATAGTCTAGTCTATAGTCTAGTCTATAGTCTAGTCTATAGTCTAGTCTATAGTCTAGTCTATAGTCTAGTCTATAGTCTAGTCTATAGTCTAGTCTATAGTCTAGTCTATAGTCTAGTCTATAGTCTAGTCTATAGTCTAGTCTATAGTCTAGTCTATAGTCTAGTGTATAGTCTAGTCTATAGTCTAGTCTATAGTCTAGTCTATAGTCTAGTCTATAGTCTAGTCTATAGTCTAGTCTATAGTCTAGTCTATAGTCTAGTCTATAGTCTTGTCTATAGTCTAGTCTATAGTCTAGTCTATAGTCTAGTCTATAGTCTAGTCTATAGTCTAGTCTATAGTCTAGTCTATAGTCTAGTCTATAGTCTAGTCTATAGTCTAGTCTATAGTCTAGTCTATAGTCTAGTCTATAGTCTAGTCTATAGTCTAGTCTATAGTCTAGTCTATAGTCTAGTCTATAGTCTAGTCTATAGTCTAGTCTATAGTCTAGTCTATAGTCTAGTCTATAGTCTAGTCTATAGTCTAAACTATGGTCAAGCCTACAGTCAGTACTATTATAGTCATAACTATAGGCTGGACTATAGGCAAAACTATTGACTGGTCTATAGTCCTGACTATAGACTGAACTATAGTTTAGACAATAGACTGGTTTAGCTAAGACTATAGACTGGACTATATATAGTTACAGTACAAACTACAGACTAGACTGAAGGTAAGTCTAGATTATAGTAAAATTTAATATCAAAACAGTAAGTACTTGGTGTAAGGTGCAAAACTGAATAAATCTAACCGTTTTAAACAAAAGTGAAATTAATATTAATAATTAAATAGCAAATAATTTAAACCAAAAAGACACGCAAATCGTTCTATATGCAGTCACTCAGTGTCAATCAATATTGCATAAAACCTCAATGTTTTTAGTTATTTGGTTAAAGTTATAAGATCTTAAAAAAACTACCGATTTAGAAAAATAAAAGTTAAAGAAAAGAAAAAAAACAGTTGAGGTTTTTCGTTTATAATTTGCTTTAAACATAACAGCTGAATATGTTGGGTTGCTGGTGGTGGAGGTGTTGAGGCAGCAACTATATAAAATTGTGGTTAGAAGAAAAAAATCTTAAGAAAAAAACATTTGATACTTTCGTTGCCCATACATATATTAAATCTATAAATATATAGGCCACTTATTCGCAACAACTATTTCTACTACTGACTCAATTCTTCCTGTTTATGGGGCAAACGAACGGAATAAAATTACTTTCATTTAAAGTACATTTGTACTTAGTTTGTAACATGTTTATAATTAGAATTTTCTTTTTGTTAATAAAAAACAGATGCTTTTATTGTGTTAAAAAAATTAAAAAAATAAACTGAAGTTATCTTTCAGTCATATTTCACAAACTCCACTTAAACTTCAGCCGATTGGTCGTCGTCAGTGTTTATTGAAAAGTATTTTTATATGCTGCGCCTGTTTGCCAACCAACCATTAAATAAATCGCAAATAAATTTTCTCACTCTTACACTTTATAAAGTTTAAACTCAGAAAACAACAAGATCAAAGTAAATTTATTTAAGAATTTTTAGCATTTTAAAATTTCCGGTTTTTTGTTGGTTTTATTTGTGATTTAACAGATTCTGCTTAATCTAGAAATGTTAATAACATAGCAGTTTAAATAATGTTAAATAATTCCTGTTACTTAACATTTACTTAATAGTGTTTTTAATGATTTAGTTAACATTGTTGTTTTTACATTTGGTCTAGTTGATCTATTTTTATTTGCCTCCTAAAAGTAGGCTTCATAAATGTGCTATACATGATCGTGCAGAGATTTAACATTAAATTTTAACACCATTGATTGCTAGATCGGAACAAAATGTTCTGTCCAAAAACAAAAACATTAATGTTTTTTATATTTTGCTTATGCAAAATCAATCGATTATTCGAAAACAATTTAACGACTTGTTTGTGTTTGCAAAAACATCAAATATTCTTGGTGTTGTTCTAGTTCAGTTCTAGTTCAGTTCTAGTTCAGTTCTAGTTCAGTTCTAGTTCAGTTCTAGTTCAGTTCTAGTTCAGTTCTAGTTCAGTTCTAGTTCAGTTCTAGTTCAGTTCTAGTTCAGTTCTAGTTCAGTTCTAGTTCAGTTCTAGTTCAGTTCTAGTTCAGTTCTAGTTCAGTTCTAGTTCAGTTCTAGTTCAGTTCTAGTTCAGTTCTAGTTCAGTTCTAGTTCAGTTCTAGTTCAGTTCTAGTTCAGTTCTAGTTCAGTTCTAGTTCAGTTCTAGTTCAGTTCTAGTTCAGTTCTAGTTCAGTTCTAGTTCAGTTCTAGTTCAGTTCTAGTTCAGTTCTAGTTCAGTTCTAGTTCAGTTCTAGTTCAGTTCTAGTTCAGTTCTAGTTCAGTTCTAGTTCAGTTCTAGTTCAGTTCTAGTTCAGTTCTAGTTCAGTTCTAGTTCAGTTCTAGTTCAGTTCTAGTTCAGTTCTAGTTCAGTTCTAGTTCAGTTCTAGTTCAGTTCTAGTTCAGTTCTAGTTCAGTTCTAGTTCAGTTCTAGTTCAGTTCTAGTTCAGTTCTAGTTCAGTTCTAGTTCAGTTCTAGTTCAGTTCTAGTTCAGTTCTAGTTCAGTTCTAGTTCAGTTCTAGTTCAGTTCTAGTTCAGTTCTAGTTCAGTTCTAGTTCAGTTCTAGTTCAGTTCTAGTTCAGTTCTAGTTCAGTTCTAGTTCAGTTCTAGTTCAGTTCTAGTTCAGTTCTAGTTCAGTTCTAGTTCAGTTCTAGTTCAGTTCTAGTTCAGTTCTAGTTCAGTTCTAGTTCTGTTCTAGTTCTGTTCTAGTTCTGTTCTAGTTCTGTTCTAGTTCTGTTTTAGTTCTGTTCTAGTTCTGTTCTAGTTCTGTTCTAGTTCTGTTCTAGTTCTGTTCTAGTTCTGTTCTAGTTCTGTTCTAGTTCTGTTCTAGTTCTGTTCTAGTTCTGTTCTAGTTCTGTTCTAGTTCTGTTCTAGTCTGTTCTAGTTCTGTTCTAGTTCAGTTCTAGTTCTGTTCTAGTTCTGTTCTAGTTCTGTTCTAGTTCAGTTCTAGTTCAGTTTCTAGTTCTGTCTAGTCTGTTCTAGTTCTGTTCTAGTTCTGTTCTAGTTCTGTTCTAGTTCTGTTCTAGTTCTGTTCTAGTTCTGTTCTAGTTCTTTCTAGTTCTGTTCTAGTTCTGTTCTAGTTCTGTTCTAGTTCTGTTCTAGTTCTGTTCTAGTTCTGTTCTAGTTCTGTTCTAGTTCTGTTCTAGTTCTGTTCTAGTTCGTTAGTCTGTTCTAGTTCTGTTCTAGTTCTGTTCTAGTTCTGTTCTAGTTCTGTTCTAGTTCTGTTCTAGTTCTGTTCTAGTTCTGTTCTAGTTCTGTTCTAGTTCTGTTCTAGTTCTGTTCTAGTTCTGTTCTAGTTCTGTTCTAGTTCTGTTCTAGTTCTGTTCTAGTTCTGTTCTAGTTCTGTTCTAGTTCTGTTCTAGTTCTGTTCTAGTTCTGTTCTAGTTCTGTTCTAGTTCTGTTCTAGTTCTGTTCTAGTTCTGTTCAAGTTCATTTATATTTCTGTTCTAGTTCTGTTCTAGTTCATTTATAGTTCTGTTCTAGTTCTGTTCTAGTTCTGTTCTAGTTCTGTTCTAGTTCTGTTCTAGTTCTGTTCTAGTTCTGTTCTAGTTCTGTTCAAGTTCTGTTCTAGTTCTGTTCTAGTTCTGTTCTAGTTCTGTTCTAGTTCTGTTCTAGTTCTGTTCTAGTTCTGTTCTAGTTCTGTTTCTAGTTCTGTTCTAGTTCTGTTCTAGTTCTGTTCTGTTTGATTAGGGAATTTAAAAGTTTCCTTACCTTACAAATACCATCAATACACATAGCTCGACCGCTATAATTCGATCTATAATATTCAGCAGGCTTCTCACAAGCAGTTCCATCAATAACGGTGGCATTTAAAGTGGCAAAATATTTCATGCCTAAAGGTTTGCAATTCAGCTCACACTCAGCATCATCTAAAGAAAAATTATAATTTAAATATTTTAGATAACAAATTTAAAAAATTTAGTTTGGAAACCAATAGCACACCTTTAACATACGGCTCCCACGTAAATTGTTGACCCTGAAAATCCACATTATTATAAGACGAACATTGTAAAGCTCTAAAATCTTCCAAATGAGAAGGACAAGGCTAGAAAATAGGGAAAATAAATTTTGAATTGAGAAACCGACAGCAGTTAAGAAATAATCCATTACCTGTTCATTGCACAATTGATAACGTTTATAGACGCCAATGCAATTTTTGCTTAAATATAATTTGCCAGTGGAGACATTTCTGGAAGAAAACAAAAAATAAACATGTTAAATATTATTTTAACAATTTATAAAAAATTCTTAGAAAATTTTTAGTTTTTTTATTGAAATTTATTTCCTTATTAAACAGTTTCCAAGAATCAAATTAATATGGCGACTGACTGAAATAATTTATAGCTCAAGTCATCATTTGAATATCAAATACTAATTATGTTATGATATTTTGGTATAAAAACAATCATTCATATCATGTCATTGTCATAACAATGATTCTCAATATCAAACTTAAGTAATCAGCTGTAAAAGTCATAGAAAAGAGTGGAGGGTAGAGATTACTCATTTTCAACAATTCTTTTAAATTTTTCTGAAAATTTATACCATCCCTCGTTATTTCATAGAATTTTGAAAAAATTATTAAATTTATTTTATGATTAATGGCTAAATATTTCTCTCGAGTTAAACGCCATAAATAATGTCAAGTTCATTTAAATTTAACAAATTTTTCCTCAACATGTCATTCAATTCTTGTAGATCTAACTTAAAGTTATGCCAGACATGTGTGAACTCTCCAGTGACATAATTTCCAATTCAAAGAAATTTTGTATGAAAAAAAAAAATATTTCACAAAACTATGTTTATTAGTTGTTAATTAACCATTGAGTAAACATAAGGAAGTTTATGCAAATAATACAAATATTATTAAAATACCAGAGGTTTCCCCTCCAGTCCTTTGTCCTACACTTGAAATTATCAGTAAGAGAAAATGTCATTAAATTTGTTTACTTTTTAAATTAAAAAACAAAAAAAAACAAAACAAATTCTTTATAAATAAATAATTAATAGTAAAATTTAATCTTGTTGTTTACAACAATTAATAATAAAGTCACTGGCATTTGAAGGTAGTTTTGATTTAATAATATTGTGGAAAAGAGGAATATTAAAATATAAAGAAATTGTTGTTGTCAAGAGGAAGAATTACAGAAGTGAGTAATCGAATTAATGAGAATTTAGGAATTCTAACAAGAACTGAACCAGAACAGAACTAGAACAGAACTAGAACAGAACTAGAACAGAACTAGCACATAGAACAGAACTAGAACAGAACTAGAACAGAACTAGAACAGAACTAGAACAGAATAGAACATAATTAGAACAAAATTAGAACAGAACAGAACTAGAACAGAACTAGAACAGACTAGAACAGAACTAGAACAGAACTAGAACAGAACTAGAACATAACTAGAACAGAACTAGAACAGAACTAGAACAGAACTAGAACAGAACTAGAACAGAACTAGAACAGAACTAGAACAGAACTAGAACAAACTAGAACAGAACTAGAACAGAACTAGAACAGAACTAAACAGAACTAGAACAGAACTAGAACAGACTAGAACAGAACTAGAACAGAACTAGAACAGAACTAGAACAGAACTAGAACAGAACTAGAACAGAACTAGAACAGAACTAGAACAGAACTAGAACAGAACTAGACAGAACTAGAACAGAACTAGAACAGAACTAGAACAGAACTAGAACAAGAACTAGAACAGAACTAGAACTAGAACAGAACTAGAACAGAACTAGAACAGAACTAGAACAGAACTAGAACAGAACTAGAACAGAACTAGAACAGAACTAGAACAGAACTAGAACAGAACTAGAACAGAACTAGAACAGAACTAGAACAGAACTAGAACAGAACTAGAACAGAACTAGAACAGAACTAGAACAGAACTAGAACAGAACTAGAACAGAACTAGAACAGAACTAGAACAGAACTAGAACAGAACTAGAACAGAACTAGAACAGAACTAGAACAGAACTAGAACAGAACTAGAACAGAACTAGAACAGAACTAGAACAGAACTAGAACAGAACTAGAACAGAACTAGAACAGAACTAGAACAGAACTAGAACAGAACTAGAACAGAACTAGAACAGAACTAGAACAGAACTAGAACAGAACTAGAACAGAACTAGAACAGAACTAGAACAGAACTAGAACAGAACTAGAACAGAACTAGAACAGAACTAGAACAGAACTAAAACTAGAACAGACTAGAACAGAACTAGAACAGAACTAGAACAGAACTAGAACAGAAACTAGAAACAGAACTAGAACAGAACTAGAACAGAACTAGAACAGAACTAGAACAGAACTAGAACAGAACTAGAACAGAACTAGAACAGAACTAGAACAGAACTAGAACAGAACTAGAACAGAACTAGAACAGAACTAGAACAGAACTAGAACAGAAACTAGAACAGAACTAGAACAGAACTAGAACAGAACTAGAACAGAACTAGAACAGAACTAGAACAGAACTAGAACAGAACTAGAACAGAACTAGAACAGAACTAGAACAGAACTAGAACAGAACTAGAACAGAACTAGAACAGAACTAGAACAGAACTAGAACAGAACTAGAACAGAACTAGAACAGAACTAGAAGAACTAGAACAGAACTAGAACAGAACTAGAACAGAACTAGAACAGAACTAGAACAGAACTAGAACAGAACTAGAAACAGAACTAGAACAGAACTAGAACAGAACTAGAAACAGAACTAGAACAGAACAGAACTAGAACAGAACTAGAACAGAACTAGAACAGAACTAGAACAGAACTAGAACAGAACTAGAACAGAACTAGAACAGAACTAGAACACAACTAGAACAGAACTAGAACAAAACTAGAACAGAACTAGAACAGAAGCAGAACAGAACTAGAACAGAACTAGAACAGAACTAGAACAAAACTAGAACAAAACTAGAACAGAACTCGAACAGAACTAGAACAGAACTAGAACAGAACTAGAACATAACTAGAACAAAACTAGAACAGAACTAGAACATAACTAGAACAGAACTAGAAACTACATATGAACTACAAACGATCTACAACTGATCTAGATTTCAACTAGAACTAAACTAGATTTCAACTAGAACAGAACTAGAACAGAACTAGAACTGAACTAGAACTGAACTAGAACTGAACTAGAACTGAACTAGAACTGAACTAGAACTGAACTAGAACTGAACTAGAACTGAACTAGAACAGAACTAGAACAGAACTAGAACAGAACTAGAAACTACATATGAACTACAAACGATCTACAACTGATCTAGATTTCAACTAGACGATCTACAACTGATCTAGATTTCAACTAGAACTAAACTAGATTTCAACTAGAACAGAACTAGAACAGAACTAGAACTGAACTAGAACTGAACTAGAACTGAACTAGAACTGAACTAGAACTGATCTAGAACTGAACTAGAACAGAACTAGAACTGAACTAGAACTGAACTAGAACAGAACTAGAACAGAACTAGAACAGAACTAGAACAGAACTAGAAACTACATATGAACTACAAACGATCTACAACTGATCTAGATTTCAACTAGAACTAAACTAGATTTCAACTAGAACAGAACTAGAACAGAACTAGAACTGAACTAGAACTGAACTAGAACTGAACTAGAACTGAACCAGAACAGAACTAGAACTGAACTAGAACTGAACTAGAACAGAACTATAACGAACTAGAACAGAACTAGAACAGAACTAGAACAGAACTAGAACAGAACTAGAACAGAACTAGAACAGAACTAGAACAGAACTAGAACAGAACTAGAACAGAACTAGAACAGAACTAGAACAGAACTAGAACAGAACTAGAACAGAACTAGAACAGAACTAGAACAGAACTAGAACAGAACTAAAACTGAACTAGATCTTTAATTGATCTAAAACTGAGCTAGTGTGGAAATAGAATTTGACGTACATATTTACATTTAGTGCCACTGTTCGTATTACAATAAATAGTTTGTTGACATTTTTCCGCTAATAAAAGTATTTACAGGGTCAAGCAAGAGCGACAATAAAGAGTCTAGAATTAATGAGTGGGTGTTAACATGATAATGCAAAGCGTTATCAATAAAAAAAATAAACAGATTTAAAAAATTTCAAAAATTTTTACTAGAACTAGAATTTTTTTTATGTAAAATCATCAATAAATAGTATATGGTTTTGTATAATATGTCTGGCCCTGACTTATATACATAGATCTATATAATTATGCATTTCTCCCACTCAAAGCTGATTGTAGTTTGAATATAATATATATATATATTTTTGCAAATCACTGACAGCCATCTCTTGACATGTTTTATTACGTTTTATTATATTTAAATTATTTTTCCAATTTCAAACTGAAATTATCGATGATTTCATGTGACTCGCTAGAATTTATTTATTAATTTTAAATATACTATATAATAATCTATATAAAATTGTAATACAAATCAGTACATTTTTAAAAAAAAAAAGTCTATGGCGATTATGCATTCACATTTTTTTTTCACATTTTCTTGCGATAAGAATTCCTTTATTTTTACGAAAACAGAAAAGAAATCTCAAAACTGTTTAAACGAGGCATTTATAAAAAACGAAAAACAGTTTTAAAACAATTGTTTAATAGTAAAGATCAATAAAAAATATTTAAATTTATTTGCACTAAATAGCACAAATTTGATTTATTTTGACACCAAAAAAAAAACAAAAAAACCGGGAGGAAAATTTTATAAATTCACATCAAATTACCTTATATTGTATAAAAAGTGAAATATTATAAAGAAAAAAACTTTTAAGAAATAATGGCCTTAAATTGGAAATTATGTATTTTAATAGCATTATTTAGCAGTCAAGTGAGTGATATCAATAATTTTTAATTAATAAAGTATTTCCATTATAAATCATCCATTAATTATTTAAACCAGTTAAAACTTGAAAAAATTGATTGAAAATCGTTAAATATTTATATTTTAATGATTAAAGTCCATTAAATCTAAAACAAGTGTTTAAATAGGACTAAATTACTATTAGAAAAAATATTAAAATGTGTTTATTAGGGTGTTCATTTTTTACTTGTTCTACGACCAAACGTAAATATCTGACACAAATCGAATAAAGTTATCTTGCACCATATCGGCCTCGAACTAAGGAAATAATTTTATAAAGCAAAACAATTTCAGCATACATCTACTTTCCATAAAGATATATCCATAGAGGTGTATATCTGTTTGTCAAAACCCCGTCGAAAATTTGCAGAATTTAAACAATTTGGTTAATTTTGAAAAATGTCTAACCATCAGAGAATAGAACCAGAACAGAACTAGAACTGGACCAGAACTAGAACAGCACTAGAATAGAACTAGAAATTTTATTACTCTGGTTTGTGATTAACATGTTTTTAACTGGCAGACGGACATTAATTTTTATATGTACCCAGAACCCTTTCCGAACTTTTCCCGGAGGTAACAATAATTGAACAATATTGCATCAGAAAAAAATTTCACAATAAGCCAATTCTACTTAATTCAGTTTTAGCTTAGTTGAAGTTCAGTTCTAAACAGAGGGAAAAAGAAATATACACGCTCGGTACCAAATTGACAGCAAAGTGTGTATAATTTTTCAATAAAATCCGTTGCTAAAGTATATACATACGTATGTGTATAAAATTTAGATTTCAACAACGAGTGTTGTTGTACGTTTGTATATACTTTGACAACGGATGTTATTGGAAAATTATATACACTTTGGTGACAATTTATTTTTTATTACTTTTTGCCTCTATGTGGTTCAGTTCTAGCTAAGTTCCAGTCCTAGTTCAGTTCAACATTAATTCGAGTTCAGTTATAGTTTAGTTCTAGTTCAGTTCTAGTTCAGTTCTAGTTCAGTTCTAGTTCAGTTCTAGTTCAGTTCTAGTTCAGTTCTAGTTCAGTTCTAGTTCAGTTCTAGTTCAATTCTAGTTCAGTTCTAGTGCAGTTCTATTTCAGTTCTATTTCAGTTCTAGTTCAGTTCTAGTTCAGTTCTAGTTCAGTTCTATTTCAGTTCTATTTCAGTTCTATTTCAGTTCTAGTTCTGTCTAGTTCTGTTCTAGTTCTGTTCTAGTCTGTTCTAGTTCTGTTCTAGTTCTGTTCTAGTTCTGTTCTAGTTCTGTTCTAGTTCTGTTCTAGTTCTGTTCTAGTTCTGTTCTAGTTCTGTTCTGTTCTAGTTCTGTTCTAGTTCTGTTCTAGTTCTGTTCTAGTTCTGTTCTAGTTCTGTTCTAGTTCTGTTCTAGTTCTGTTCTAGTTCTGTTCTAGTCTGTTCTAGTTCTGTTCTAGTTCTGTTCTAGTTCTGTTCTAGTTCTGTTCTAGTTCTGTTCTAGTTCTGTTCTAGTTCTGTTCTAGTTCTGTTCTAGTTCTGTTCTAGTTCTGTTCTAGTTCTGTTCTAGTTCTGTTCTAGTTCTGTTCTAGTTCTGTTCTAGTTCTGTTCTAGTTCTGTTCTAGTTCGTTCTAGTTCTGTACTAGTTATGTTCTAGTTCTAGTTCTGTTCTAGTTCTGTTTCTAGTTTTGTTCTAGTTCTGTTCTAGTTCTGTTCTAGTTCTGTTCTAGTTCTGTTTTAGTTCTGTTCTAGTTCTGTTCTAGTTCTGTTCTAGTTCTGTTCTAGTTCTGTTCTAGCTCTGTTCTAGTTCTGTTCTAGCTCTGTTCTAGTTCAGTTCTAGTTCAGTTCTATTTCAGATCTATTTCAGTCTAGTTCTGTTCTAGTTCTGTTCTAGTTCTGTTCTAGTTCTGTTCTAGTTCTGTTCTAGTTCTGTTCTAGTTCTGTTCTAGTTCTGTTCTAGTTCTGTTCTAGTTCTGTTCTAGTTCTGTTCTAGTTCTGTTCTAGTTCTGTTCTAGTTCTGTTCTAGTTCTGTTCTAGTTCTGTTCTAGTTCTGTTCTAGTTCAGTTCTAGTTCAGTTCTAGTTGAAATCTAGTTTAGTTCTAGTTCTAGTTGAAATCTAGATCAGTTGTAGATCGTTTGTAGTTCATATGTAGTGCATTTCTGTTTCTAGTTTTGTTCTAGTTCTGTTCTAGTTCTGTTCTAGTTCTAGTTCTGTTCTAGTTCTGTTTTAGTTCTGTTCCACTTCTGTTCCAGTTCTGTTCTAGTTCTGTTCTAGTTCTGTTCTAGTTCTGTTCTAGTTCTGTTCTAGTTCTGTTCTAGTTCTGTTCTAGTTCTGTTCTAGTTCTGTTTTAGCTCTGTTCTAGTTCTGTTCTAGTTCTGTTCTAGTTCTGTTCAAGTTCAGTACTAGTTCAGTTCCGTTCTAGTTCTGTTCCAGTTTGTTGTCAATTCCATCCACGCTTATTTAGAAAACTAATCTTTTAGAGATATTTTTAATAAAACTTTGCTTATCTCTCTCTTGCTCTCTTCCAGCTAACACACTCATTCATCATTTTGGATCCCACCGGTTGTCAGCTAAGTGACAACGAACTCTCACCACCAAATCCGAAATGTTCTTGGATTGAGAAGGCTCTCAAAAGTTTACCCAAATATCGTAATTTTTTCGCCGGTCTGTTACAAGAAGCGAGCGGTGAGTTTGCCTATGAGCTGCAGGAAATTTTTAATGCAATTTGTGAAGCCATGGTGGAAAATGATCGCAGAAAGCAGCGTGAACAATTGACGATAGCCAAATGGTTGATGGATAATAATAAGAAATTAAATGAGTACTTATTAAAGAAGGGAATTTGGAAGATATAAGATATTGTAATAAGATTATTGAAAACTTATGTTAGTTTTTTATTATATCTTTTCTTCTTAATATAAAAAAAAACAAATAGTTTAAATGAATAAGTTTAGTTTTAAAATATGAATAATTTTTTGGGGCACCATTTAAAAAAACAGTAGTATTATTGTAATGTTTTCTTTATCATAATAATAAAATATATTTTATATAAAAAAAGGATGTTGTTCAGATGTGGTTCACTTTCGCTTAACCCAAAAATAACTCGAATAAATCAAACCACGATTCATCACTATCCTCATCATAATCTTCTTCCAAGTTTTTCAAAGCCTCGGCCAAAGTTTTAAGCTGTTCGGGATTATTAAGTAATTCCTGTAGAAAATTTTGCATTTTAGGATTGTCCAATAAAGAATGTCCTTTCAAAAGTTCTAAAATTTCTTCAAAATATTTCTTATGTTCATCACTTAAAGTGGAATTATTATTTCCAGGGCTTGAACTTGATTGCTGTTTAAATTTTTGATAACGTTTCAAAACTTTTGCAGCTTCTTTAACACTTTCACTATCTTGTAGATCATGTTGCAGTAAGAGGGCTTTATATTTGGTATCTACAGGCAGGTGATTATTTTGCTGTAATATTGTTAATTCTCCCAGAGCCACTTTAAGTTGATTACTTATGTTCTCATATTCAGCAACATATTTTGTAAATCGTTCGATAGCTTGTTGAACTTGTTGCTCTTCTTCCTTAGTGATGTTTCCGGTGGTGATAATTTTCGCTTTTTTCAATTTAACTCGTTCTTCATTTAATTCCCCATTCAATTTCAGATCTCTGATATCTTTCTCAGGATTTTTTAGCAATAACTGATCAATTTTACTATTAATATATTTGCTTACTTCTGGACTGAAGATCTCTTCCACAAACTGGGTTAGTTTGGTCTCTTTGTCTTCTCCATTATTTTCTCCTCCTGCCCTTGTGGCTGCCAACTTAACAAACATCACAAATATCAATAATATATGCATGTTCTTCAAATGACTTTGCAATCAAAACTGTTATTCAAACCACAAATTTACTGCTATTTGTTTAAATTTTTTCTTAAAAAAATTTTGAATTCTAAACAATTTTCCAATTTCCTAAATATGTTTAACTAGATAATTCTGTGAGTTATGGCTCATAATTCTAACAACTTTCAACATTATATGCTTAAAAGCGTAATGAAATTTGTTACGAAAATTAGGCAATAATTTGTTATCAGTTTCAAGTTACTATTACTAAACTAAGTTAGCTAAAAAATTTCGAAACATTTTAGAGAATATTTAGATACTAGAACTGAACTAGAACTGAACTAGAACTGAACTAGAACTGAACTAGAACTGAACTAGAACTGAACTAGAACTGAACTAGAACTGAACTAGAACTGAACTAGAACTGAACTAGAACTGAACTAGAACTGAACTAGAACTGAAATAGACCTGAACTAGAACTGAACTAGAACAGAGCTCAAACAGAACCAAAACAGAACTTGAACAGAACTAGAACAGAACTGGAACAGAACTAGAACAGAACTAGAACAGAACTAAAACAGAACTAGAACAGAACTAGAACAGAACTAGAACAGAACTAGAACAGAACTAGAACAGAACTAGAACAGAACTAGAACAGAACTAGAACAGAACTAGAACAGAACTAGAACAGAACTAGAACAGAACTAGAACAGAACTAGAACAGAACTAGAACAGAACTAGAACAGAACTAGAACAGAACTAGAACAGAACTAGAACAGAACTAGAACAGAACTAGAACCGAACTAGAACAGAACTAGAACAGAACTAGAACAGAACTAGAACAGAACTAAAACAGAACTAGAACAGAACTAGAACAGAACTAGAACAGAACTAGAACAGAACTAGAACTGAACTAGAACTAGAACTGAATTAGAACTATAACTAGAACTGAACTAGAACTGAACTAGAACTGAACTAGAACAGAAATAGAACAGAACTAGAACTGAACTAGAACTGAACTAGAACTGAACTAGAACTGAACTAGAACTGAACTAGAACTGAACTAGAACTGAACTAGAACTGAACTGAACTAGAACTGAACTAGAACTGAACTGGAACTGAACTAGAACTGAACTAGAACTGAACTAGAACTGAACTAGAACTGAACTAGAACTGAACTAGAACTGAACTAGAACTGAACTAGAACTAAACTAGAACTGAACTAGAACTGAACTAGAACTGAACTAGAACTGAACTAGAACTAGAACTGAACTAGAACTGAACTAGAACTGAACTAGAACTGAACTAGAACTGAACTAGAACTGAACTAGAACAGAACTAGAACAGAACTAGAACAGAACTAGAACAGAACTAGAACAGAACTAGAACAGAACTAGAACAGAACTAGAACAGAACTAGAACAGAACTAGAACAGAACTAGAACAGAACTAGAACAGAACTATAACAGAACTAGAACAGAACTAGAACAGAACTAGAACAGAACTAGAACAGAACTAGAACAGAACTAGAATTAAACTAGAGTTGAACTAGAACTAGAAACTAAATCGAAACATAACTATTTGCGCGCAAATATATAATAGCCATTGCTAAATTTATTTCAATATGATAAAAATATAGTATATAATAATATTAGATAAAAACTGGAACACTTTCTGGTTATATCTTGATCCATAAATAAACCCAAAACCCAAACCCTGCCGTTACCATAATGAGAACCAATCCCAAAAATAATCCTCATCTTCATACTCCTCTTCTGACAATTCCTTTAAGGCTGCAGCCAATTTTTTTAATTTTTCAGGATTCTTAAGAAGTTGATGTAATATATCCTGCATTTTTGGATCGTCAGCGTTAATATGTTTTCTCAAAATTCTTAAAATTTCTTCAAAATATTGCCGATATTCATCTTTTAAAGGAGGCACAACTGGTGGTTGTACAACCGGTTGAGTTGGTGTTTCTGCTACAGATTCTTCACCCAGTCTCTGTTTGAAATCTACATAAGCTCTCAAGTTTCTCTCTGCTTCTTTAATATTTGAACTATCTCTGAGTTCGAGCAACATCATAAGCGCTTCATATCTAATAGCAACTGGAAGTTTTGTATTCTGTTCGATAATGTTTAAATCGTCGATGGCATTTTCTAATCTGCCAGCAATTTCATTATATTGTTGCATAAAATTTCTAAAATCTTCTAGAGCCTGTTCGGCTTTAAGATCATCATCCTCTTGGGGAGGGTCTCTTATTAGAGCAGCTTCTAATCTAGATCTCTTCTCATTAAATGTGGTGGCCAAATTAAGTTGTGAAGGATCTTTTTCGGGATTTTCTCTAAGCACTTGTCTGATTCTGCTATTCAAGTACTCTACTACATCTGGTTTAACAAATGGTGCTGGAGTTGTCCCCGGCATATTCCCTCCCATATCATTAGATTCATTTGGATTTGCTTCAGTCATTGGATTCATTGAATTGCCTTCACCCATTGAATTGCCTCCACCCATTGAGTTTTCCCCATCTTCCTGAGATTT